TCTATTTCATCAACTTATCAACTATTATTATTATTTTTATTACTATTATTAATATTAGGGTTTCATCGCCTATAAATTTCAATTGCTGATTTCATTATAAGCAGTCTGACAGAGCTATGATATTCTCTCCCCTGTTTTCCACCCACCTCTCTACATTTTTCTCTGCTCACCCCAACCAGTCGAGGCAGATGGCCTCTGAGGCTGGTTCTGGAGATTTCCTCCAGTCAAAAGAAAGTTGTTTCTCTCCACAGTCGCCAAATGTTTGCTCGCTGTGGGAACCGTTGGGTTTTCCTGTGATGTTGTCGGCATATAAAGTGACTTGGGATAATGTATGTTATGATTTGACGCTATACAAATAAAATTCACAGTTGAAATTGAATCAAATTTAGTTTGAAAAAGAAAACAACAAGAAGAGACGTATATTTCCTCGTCTCAACAGAATTGAGACTGATTCAAGCTATTAATGAATAAGGTCATTAATTCGTAATGCTAATGTAATACTTAGTAAATAAATAATATAAGCTTCATTTTTCCATTTATATCTAACAAGCCACTGTGTCTAACTCAACATCAGTAGTCAATTCCATACTTGACTCCCGGTGAGTCCCGATTGAAGGTGGCATTTTGCTGGCACAACAAGAGCTGCCGCAGCTCCACTGCTGCTCCGCTGGATCCAGACAGACAGGTCCAGACGCTGCACATCAGGCTGTAATCCTCATTATGCTAATGAACTCACACCAAGTTAGGGACTAACATCGCAGGTCGGATGGGAGAAGGCAGCAGCAGCAGGGAGGAGAGGAGAGGGGGTGATGGGAGGTGTTGAACAAGTGGGAACAGAGAAACTCTTTGGACAGAAAGAGCGAGAGCTTTCAACTGTATCGTGCTGCTGCTCTTAAAAGGAAGTGGGCTCTGTGTGTGTGTGTGTGTGTGTGTGTGTGTGTGTGTGTGTGTGTGTATACACACTTGTACAGATATCTTTGTGAGGAACATTTTTAGCCTTGACCTTACAGAGTGAGGATATTTGGGTGAGTGCTCACTATCTGCTCTACTTTCTATGGACTGAGGGTTTAGACTCACTTTTAGGGTTAGGCTTAGAATTGGGGTTAGAATTAGAATTAGATTTAAATTAGGTTTAGCATTAGGGTTAGGGTAAGAATTAGGTTCAGGTTTAAATTAGGGTTAGATTTAGGTTAGACATTTAGTAGTTATGGTTAAGGTTCAGGTTAGAGCTAGGGAATGCATTGTGCTTACATGGGCGAGTGTGTGCGACTATCACCTCCAGGAGGAACACACTCTACACCTGAAGACACACACAGCGGAAGAAACTTGTAGTTGCTCTGAAAGCTGAATGAAGACAGACCCTTCTCGTGACTGACAGACACATCCAGATGTTGGGCAGTGCAGCAGATGGCACTAGCCTTTTCTAGAAAAGACACATCTCACTGACAAGCTGGATGGATTGACTCAGCAACCCCCCCACCCAAATCATTGAATCTACACTAGAAGAAAACAGATCACTATTATGTTCACCATCCGGAGACAAAGGCTGCTCATGACAACTTCATGACACTTCACACTGACCTGTGCTGGGGTTATCCTGGACATGGCGTCCAATCTGATATCTGACGATAACTGCTCCATCCTCCTCCACCATTTTATCGCTGCAGCCACATCATTAAACGAGGACTTATTTAACTTAATGACACACAGTGAGTTCAGAGATCTGATGACGGAGGGTCCTTAATAACCCAACAACAACAACCTGAGCATCCCGTCCACCAGAGCACGTGTGCGCGGAGGTGAAGCCACATCTCACCATCCAGCGGTGCCAGGGTAAGCGCAGCTGTAATAACTCCACAGGCAGCTGTGTGTCCAGATGGCCACATGGAGTAAGGGCAGAGAGGGGGAAAGTTTAGGAGTCATCCGTCCTTACCTTTCTGTCCGGAGGGTGGACGCTCTCTGAAGCTGCGTCGGAGCAGCTGTCGCGCGTAAAATGTTTGGAGCAGCTTGTTACCCGCGGATGGAGAAAGCAGAATTATCGCTCCTTCTGTTTAACTGTTCACTGACACAGTCCCCAGAAACATGCACTCACTGTCACCATCGTCCCGCACCATCTGAATAAACTCACCCCCCCTGCTGCCTCCTCTTCCCGTCCTCTCTCCTCCCTCCGTTTGCTCACTCAGTGCGCATCGAGCGTCACCAGCGCCGCTGCGTCCACGGTGCCAGGCGGCCAGCTGTCCCCCCCCCCACCAGCCTCCAGTGATAACACCCGACTTAATTCACCGACACACCCGGACTGCTGCCTCTCTCTGTGTCTGTGCTGCTGTGAGACGCAGTTCGAGTGTTTCTGAAGCTTCCTCCGCTCAGCAGCAGGATCAGGTAACTCCAGACTCACCTGGAGGGGAGGAAGCTGCCACTGAAAGCTGCACTGCTGCCCTCACGTGGACTGACAGAGCCACGACAACACACAAAACACATGGAAAAGTAAAGGTTTAGAGCAAGGGTTCTCAAAGAGGGGCCCGGGGAACCCAAAGGGTCCTCAAGGGGGTTCCAGGGGAACTCATTCATGAGTACGGTGGAATATTGGGGCCACATTGAAGATTCAGATTTTTCGAGAATAAAGTTATAATATCACCAGAATAAACTCAACATTTTACGAGTTGTAGTTTTAGGCTCCATGTTATTTCAAAAGCAGCTTGGGAAAACTTGGGAAACTATACTTCAGGTTTCACAAATACTGAAATACTGAATCTTTTGGCACATCAGCACCTCATTCTTTATTATGTGTACTTTGAAAAGATTGTGAAAGAAAATCGGTCTATTCAGATGAAGGAACCACATGGACGTGGGGGAAATTGTCTCTTATGCGGAGGAGAAAATGGCAGGTTTTTTCTCTCCCTCAAATTTTACTCTTTTATTGACTTAATATAATGACTTTTACTCATGTATATTGTCAGGACTTTATTCTCATAATATTATGATTTAAAAATGAATTACACTGTTTTAATTTGATGTAACTGGATCACATGAGCAGATGTGGAAAAAGACTGATGGACTGTGGCATTGTGGGTGATGGATGTGGAGAATGTAATCAGCAATTCTACACGTGGTCCGACAGGTGCACAGGTTTTTTGTTTTTGATTTGTTTCGTGTTGTTTCTTCTGTTAAAGGACTTTGTATGGACAATGTGATATTTTTATTTGATTTCAGTTATTTCATGTTGTTCTTATGTGGTTGTTTCTGGACTTTGAATAATAGTGTGAAGCACGTTGTAACACTAGTTTTACATTTTTCTTGTCATTTTCACAGTGTCAGTACAAATAAAGACAGAAAGACAAAATTAACCTTCAAAACATATGTATGAAGCGCAGAAGTGCAGGTATCTGCAGCGCTGCTGATAAATGCATTTGTTTTGATGTGGCAGGAGCAGAGGTATTCACTCACATTCATTTACTTCATTACTCTTCGGCCTTTGCCCTAAACACATCTTCTGTCACTCATACCCAGTGGACCTGACCTGGTCTCTCTCCCACACAAACAACTACATATCAATCAATGTGCTGATCTATAGCTGAGCTGTTGAGTCTCTATTTTCTCCATTTATCGGAAGTTGGCAGTTCTGAAAACCCTCACCCAAAAACCTCCAGCAGTGCTTGAATAAGATCAATCCTGCCCACTCTGCTCAACTCCAGCTACCCTCAGGCACATCCTCACTGGTTGTAAAATCGTCTCTCCAAAGGTAGGTATACGTTTAGACACAACCAGGTACACAAATGCCCTGCAGAAACAATAGAAACAAAGAGAACTGCTACCAATGCCTTGCCATCCAAAACATCCAGCGCAATTCAAAGACCAACATTTGTCACTGAGGGGGAACAGGGACCGAGAGGGCCTCCTCCACAGGGTTTTATTGCAACATCCACCATCAGGATGCTCAAAGATCTGGGGATCCACAGACTGCGCCAGACCATAAGAGAAACATCACGTCTGATCAACCTGCGGTGGGCCTGCCTTAGAAGAGGGGGTCTTGTGATTAAAAGGCCAAAAATCCTGATGGCAGTGAGGTACACAACTGAAGATATGTCCCTAACACAAAGCAGTGGCAGCTGGTTAATATGGGATGCTGGGGCGCCGCCCCCTTCAACATCCTGAGACAAAAAAGCCTGTATGAAAATGTTAAACATTATTTAATTAGATAATAAATTAAACATGGGTTGTATTTGGTTAATTTGTGTCTAAATACATAATATGTATGGGGCCAAATAGAAGGGAATGTGATACTTTTGGCAACCGCAGGACCTGAGGCTGTTCTTTATTTGGTTGTTGCAGATTTTCCAGACTCCCACTTTTATTTACAGACAAAAGACATAGATTTTTATCTTTTAAAAAAAACCAAGAGGATAAAGTACACAACTGAGGATATGTCCCTAACATCTAGACTAAAAGGTTCAGTGTGTAGAATTTAGTGATACCTAGTGTTGAAATTGCAGCTGAACACCCCTCACCTCACCCTGTCCTTCCAAACATGAAAAAGAACCTGTGGTAGCTTCAGTTGTCATAAAAACTCAAAAGGTGTTTAGTTTGTCCAGTCTGGACTAATGTAAAAGACCTGGTGGCCTCCGTAGAGAGGGTCCCCTCCATGTAAATATAAAGTATTTAAATATAAAGGGTCTTTTCTGGGGTAGAGAAAACTACAATTCATACAGTTTAGATGAAATGAACTAGTGAAAACATCATGAGGATTATTCTACATTAAATTTCTGCCAATAGTTCCCTTTCAACTAAATCTTACACACTAGACCTTTAACACTAGCATCTTAATACGTGTGGTAGACCTTTAAACATAGAAGACATATTCTCCATCTTCTCCTATGAATGATTTTCTTACTCTGACCTTCTTCAGACTTTTAAGACAAAACAATTGAACTAGATTTCCTACATCTCTGATGCACCATGTCAGTTTAAGTTGTTCTTCAGTTGTCATGCAAAACACCAAACAGTTTCAATTAACACAAAACTTCAAAGGTTTATTTAACAGCACATGTTAATATTCAACATAAAAGTAAAAATAAATAAAAATCGATGTGATGTACATTCTAAGGTAGAGAAGCATCACACTTGATGATCATGAGGTTTGATTGTGAATCACAGTGTTTTCAGAACCAAAATAAACTCTACAATACAAAGTGCAGATCTCTACACCACAAGCTCATATTATCTTATTATTAGTTCCACTGCTTTTACCAAGCAGACAGAGGATTCAATCATTTAGCCTTGTGTGACTGCAGGTTTACTGAACTGCTGTCAATGCTTCATTCTTTGCATGTCGCTATTTCAGAGGTACGTTAAGTCATCGACACAACCCAAGTTCACAACTGTTCAAAATAAAAGCTCTGCGATTCAGCTCAATGTAAAGCATTGCAGCAGGAACATTGTGCTTTTACTTTGAAGATAAATTGCCAAACAGGAGGTGACTCTAAGAAAGTTGACGGACATCCGCACCTGTGTTCGGTGTCTGTGTCTCAGTCTGATGTGGTGAAATAATCAAATTATATATATATTTTGACCAATTTGCTGAGTACTGCTGTAGTTTATCTGAGGACGTAAAGGAAGACATGCTCAACCCGGTCCACAGAGGGAAGGCCCACTGTCCACTGCCTGCTACAGAGTGCTGTACACACACACACACACACAAGAAACATATATACATACTGAGAAAAGCCTTGTATCACCACTCCACTATTTTTAATGGTGCTTTGATTACATTTCTTTATATTATCAATAGTTTGCATTCATGTCTCTGACCTGAGGAACACAAAGCAATTAAAACCTCCCTGAAAGCTTGGAAATAAATACATCCAAATATAAATATATATATTCTCGCAAAAATTACCATCACCTTCACACACAATCCAATATTGCTAATATTGTAAATGAATAAAAACTGCAGTAAATAAGTCGGTTCAAACACTAATTATGAGTCAGACCTTCAACAACACATTACTTCCTCTGATCAAACTGCTCAGAAGAAATGCATCAGAGATACTGAGTCCTCTGAACCACATGTACAGATGGTGTGTACTCTTATTAATGTCACATGGTGTGGTTTGCGATTCTTAGTCACACCCGATGGTATCGAGGTCAGAGTGTCATTATGAGGTGTCGCCCTGAGCCTGCACAGTCACACCCAGTGATCACGTTTTCTTCAGTCATATGGAAACATACTAGTATCAATTCTCAGTTCTGAGCGGATGTAAACAATGAAGGCGCTGACAGATAAAATCTAAACAGAGTCACACTCTGAGTATAATAAATACTCTACAAACAACTACTGCAACACTTCTGAGTATTACTGACACCAGGGACGCTGGCCAGCTCAGAGCCTTTGTTGCATATTAAACTGCTCTGGCCACTTCAGTGCTACATGAAGTCCAGACCTCTATTTGCTGAGGTTCAGCCCAGCACAGTGGACATGGTCAAACTGAAGTGCTCCTTTTATGAGCTGACATCTTTCTGCCGTCCCGGAGTAAATGAAGTATGTGTGCTATTAAAATCACACTTATCTGGCTGACACGTCTTAGCTCAATGTGCATTCTTTTCAAGCTCTGATCTTAACATAACATTAATCCCTCCTTGGTAAAACTCTGATTCATGTAACCTTCTAGATATAATCTTCCTACTTTTGTGTTTCGGTCTCTAAACTGTGCGTTTAAATAGTCCTGCCTACAGTAAACTGTGTCTCCATCCTCAGTCTGTGCTGGGATGGTGTAGTACCTTGGTTATTTTACCCGAAACTGGAGTTTGTCACAGAGACAAAGTGTACCCTAGCCTGCCCCCTGCTGGAGATTCCTCTCATAGTTTTCCAGGCAGATGTTGACACGCTCAGTGAAATAGTTGAGGTCAGAAATGGCCCGGAGGAGGTCGTTCTGGACCAAGGTGATGTCGTACAGCTCAGAGGTGCAGGCTACACGAGTGTCATTGCCACCTGGGTCTAGGAAGATCTGAGAAACACACACACACACACACACACACACACATGAAGAGGGAAGAGGAAGAAAGTTGTGTTTCTTAACTTTCAGGGGTTCTGAACCAGCTGCATTGTTTTGTCTGGGTCAACGTGAGTAGCTGCATTAACATCATCACTATGCAATAAAAGAGGAAGACAAAAACTCATAGAATGCAAACAGTGTGTTTAGAGTCCAGACTCCAGGATATCAACAACAACTGACAGAGAAACATACACACAATAGTTAAGATGCAAACAACACCACATCATACATAACACATACATGAACACTGTTCATCATCCTGGGACACTTACAGGATGATGAACATAAGATGAAAGATGATTCTCATCAGAAAAACTGTAGAAATCCGAAGCTTTGTATAAAGAACCTGAAGGTAACATGAAGTGTGACTTTTCACCAGGGTAACTGCAAAGTGTTGGCAAATAAATATTTCTACTAAAAATGTCCTCCTGTTGAGAAATGGCTCTTTTCACTGATGGATGACATCAAAGTAGGAAACTGGCAGATGCAGAAATAATAAAAAGAATGAAGGTTGAATTCTGTTCAGCTGCTTCAGTTTCAGGATGGTGGTGCTGTTGTTCAGGCTGGTTCACTGTGACACCGTCATGATGCACTCGAACTCAACAGCTGTTTGTATGAACGGAATTGTTTTTCTAGCATTTTGAGAATCTCTCGTCTGTCGGCAGAGACGAACTACTGGACTGATTCCAAAAGTACACCCACATTTATAAAATGGAGAACCCAGGTTGAAAAATACCAGAATTCACCTTTTACAGATGTGCTGTCTCAAGCATCTGCTAAAATAAAAACTGTACAATGTGGATGGAGCCCTGCTGGTGACACATAACAAAGGGCTTTTGCTATTATCAGTCAATCAAATTGTGTTTGTATATCCCATATTCAAAAATCACTGTTTGTCTCAAAGAGCTTAAGAAGGTGCAACCTCCTCTGTCCTGAAGCCTCAACCAGAGTGAGGAAAAACTACTTTAACCAGGTGAGAGATGTCGAAACCTCAGGCAGAGTAACATGTGCGGGATCCCTCTCCCAGGATGGTCAGAGGTGCAATCAATTCCACATGTAGCAGAGCACATCAACAAAATAATATTATGAGTATTTAAACTAGCTCCCACATAGTGGAGCTCACTGCCCATTGAACTGAAACCAAGTCTCTAGCTTTTGAGAATCCCATCTTAAAACTTTTCTATTTATTTACTCATATGATTGCATCATCCAGTTTTTCTCTGCTCATGTTCCTTTGACTTATTCTCATTGTATCAATCTGTCTGGTGTTATTTCTTTTTTGTAATATTGTTCAGAAAAGTGATAGATAAAAAACGTTAACAGTAAGCATTACCAAAAAGCTGTCAGTGTAGCTCCAGTCCTTGCAGTCTGCAAGAACAGTTGATGTATTTATGGTGATGAATAAAAAGTAAGTGACAGTACCCTGGGCTGAACGATGGTGTCCTCGTCATCCTGTCGCATGTTGTCGTCTATGAAAATGTGCTGAACGCTCTGGTCAAATGGGTCGACCCACAGAGGCTTCCCCCCACGGATGGAGAAGGTATTACTGGCCCACCTGGATGAGAAACAAGATGTATCAGGAAAAGGGCGACGGAGGGGGTCCCACATGAATGATGGTCTGAGGAGTGTTACACATACCAGTCAAAGTGGTCTTGAAAGCCTCCCAGGCCCTGGACTGAGCTGAAATACTGATACAGGCCCCTCTCTCCGTCTCGAGACGACACGCGGTCCTCAGCTCGACTCAGGACGATTCCCTTCTTGCTACAGCGGATCTTTCCTGGAGTCATATTCACATTTATCTGAGTGGAGGAGAATCAAAACATGACACAAATCTGTGAATAACTCATCTTCACAGTAGAAATTTTTTTTTTAATGAATTGGGTAAATTGACCCTCATGATTTTATTCCACCTTCAGATCAGGCAGATCAGGGAACAGTGGATGAGCCCCTTCATTCAGTGCTCTGTGCACAGCTCTCAGCACACGAGGTAGGTCTGTTCCAAACGTACGAAACAGGATGGCAAATTCCCATCCCTCCTGCACCAGGTCTTTGAGCAGCTGGAAGAAGGACGGTAGGATCCAGTGGTACAGTCGTCCGTCCTCTCCTTTTACAGACAGCTCGCTGTCTTCCTGCAGACAGCAAAGTTAGGGAGCAGTCGGTAAAACACACACAAACAAACTTTCATTTGACTCCAAGTTACAATGTTCTGCAGTGTCATATTATCATGTTGTTTTTTTATAAAGTGAACAAAAGTTAGTTCTCCATCTTGGGACGGTGCTAAGTGGAACAGGTTGGAGGCCAGACAGGACCAGACTGGCCTCTTTGTCTTTGGTTGAAGCTCAAGCTGTCCCACTCAGCGTGCTCCCAAGAAGCCTGGAGAACTTCCTTTGTGTTTTTTCTGTTGCAATCGTTTTTGCTATTATATTGGTTCTGTAAAAAAATTCTGAGTAGAAATCTAAAACGTAGTGGTCATCACTGGGTCAGTATATGAGTAGATTATCGTCATCTCGCTCTCCTGCATGAATACTTGCTTCGACACCCTCGGGCCAGCGCAGCTGATCCAGGTGTTCATCGAGAACTCCACGGAAACGTCGTCCCGCACCAGAGGTGAAACCAGGAATCCGTCCAAACTGAACGGAGTAACGAACTGCATCTTTGCATGGTGGGAGCAGGGAGGGCGAGTCACTGAGCCATTCCCATTTTCCTGCACAGAGGTGAAGAAAACAAAGAGTCTGTTAACGGCTTGAAATACAGACAAGTAATAATAACAGAAGAAATCTATTCTCTGTCAAAATCTATTTTCTTGTCTTATGATCTCGTTCTTGTAATGGGGTTCATGGCGTCCTGTTCTCTGTCTGCTTACTGAAGAGTGGGAAACTGCAGGGTTATCAATGCTGAGGACATCTGGTTCTCATCTTCTTCCCACCAGATAACATCAAGAGCATAACAACCTCTCACAGAGAGAGAGACTCTGTCAATCTCTGGCAGACTCTCAGTGAGAGAGAGAGAGAGATATTAGAAGAAATGACTTAATCCTACACTTAACATAACATTTATATTGAATGGACAGGGAGAAAAGATACTAAATACATAATTATGTTTGTCCCCAACATCAGTGGCTCTAGATGAGTCAACCAAACACTATTTGAGAAAACGTTCATCTAACATTCAATTTCAGGTTTTATTCATAAACATCATCAAACATGGCTTTAGACATAAACCCTGGTTATGTTAACAATGACCTGCAATTCGGCATCACTGTCATCCCAATGATGCGTCCGGTTCAAATAACGAGTTAACTTTTAGTGTTGGATGACAAAGTGTCGTCCCTTGTGTTTGGGAGAAGCGCACAGGGAGAATGTCTTTAAAAGCTCAGGTGATGAACTGAGGTCCGGTGTGATCGCTCAGCACCTCAGGAACAATGGCTTCAGTCCATCACCTGACCGATCAGGCTGAGTGACAGTGAGCCAGTGTTTACCGTGTCTGGTCATCTTTCCCCAGGTGGAGGTGGTGAGGAAGCCGTCCAGAGCAGCCACGGTGCCCTGACCCGTCACAGTGTCGGACACCACCACGGTGTTGTTCACGTCCATGTGGAGGACGAGCTTTTTCCTCTGGCGGTGGTTTGAGGACCGGAGCCCCCGAGGGGACGCAGACTCACCGGGGACAGCTCTGCCGTTGGTCCCGTCGTGTCGCTCGGCTTGTCGGCCGCTGTTCTCGGTGAAGTCCGCCATGAGGAGGCTGTTCCCTGTCAGAAGAGAGCTGGACTGAAACTCCTGATCTAACCTGCTCCACTGACATGCACTTGTTATTTACCGGTTCATCTCCATTCCCCATGCCGTCTTCTTCCTCGTCATGTACCTGGCTGAGCACTGCCATACAAATCAAACAGCGCCACCCTCAGGTCTGTATGTGAAACTCCATCTTATCAGCTACTCGTGTTGTATTAATGGACAAATTATGTATATTAAGTATAAATTAAATGGAAACCAGTGGGTGGCAGGGCAGTGTGTCCTCTGTGGATCTGATTGAACATGTCTTCCTCTGTGTCCACTATGACCTGTTAATATAGAGACAGGAAGACATTAACACTCCATCAAAATCTATTTTCTTGACATTACAGTATATTTTGGTACATGATGGCATCGCCAGCAATAATAATTTTTCATTCATAGGATCATTTCCTGTTTGGCAATTTGTCTTTTGTTGCAATGTGTCAGTTGCTTAACAGACATCTGAAGTTGCCAATATGCTATGTATGGTAAAAAATAACCACTTCAGTAAATCATTCAAACTTATATACAAGCTACACATGAAAATAAAACAAATTCAGTTTCATTTTATTGAAAAAAAACATTGACTTATCTTCATGGCAGATGAACCAGGTAGGATGAACACGTTTTCTAACTTCCCTCTGCAGGTTTTGAACGGGCCCTGGACAGTGTCTACTAAAACAATAAAAATAGCCCACACACAAATGTCGGCCATACTCAAAATTGTTTTATTTATATTAACCATTCATATGTATCCACAGCAGCATTCTTAATGATCCCCACTTCATATTATACCATTAGAAAGGAGGGGAGGGGTGAGACCGAACAACTCACGCAAAACAGAAATAATGAAATTTAGCAACGTTTAAGAGGGAGGGGATACTTAACAGGGGCTTGGGATACAGTCTGAATGAACATGCAGTCATGCACTTTTTCAGTTTACACTGAAGCCTCTGACAGTTGCATCCACAGGATTCAAATATCCAAACAAGTACCAAAAAAAAAGAACATGCCAAAGCAACAGAAGCCAAATATGAGGTTTACAAATCAAACATCGTGTGCCTTCTGGATTTAAAAAAGAAAAAAACAAAAATGTAGCAGGTCATCACTTATCTCACATTGAATTTCTTTACATCAGCTGAAACAAATCTAATCCAACTTAATGAATACCCGCCACAAACAAATAAAGATTTACACACAATACAACAATCTTCACTCAAAACTCCCCATATATAGCCCACAGATCGACGACAGCCGTGGTCAGGGATGAAATGGTCTGGTGAAAGTTAGCAGTGTTTTCAGCTTGAAACCAGACCGCAAGGTGCGTTGGTGCATGGAAGTCTGGCAGGCTCCACTCAACTCTGTTAGGTGGTTGAGGATCAACTCCATCAGCTTACAGGGGCAGATTATACACGCGTTAGCTTCTGTCTGTGAGTCACTATATGCACTGAATGAATAGAAATACAAACACAGCTTGTTAAGTCTTTATCAATGTGTAACTATATTAATGTGATTATATCAACGATGTGTCTAGTTGGTGCTGAGTACACATCTATATGTGTATCTGAAGGTCTTTCGCAAACAGCCGCCAAGTCCTCGAAGGTCACCTCCAGATCTTCACCTTCATTTTAACGGCCGCTTCAGACGCCTGTGTAAAGAAATGAGCACTGATGTGTCTGCAACTGAGGAGCAGCTTCCACCTCCCTGGATCACCAGCCCTTATCTCCACGTTCCATCAGTCCTCATCACGACTAGTCCACCTCCTCCATGTTGCTGTAGGATGGCGCTGTACACTCTCCGGAGTGGGCAAAGAGGTCAGAGGGGACCTCTGGGGTCAGCGTGGGGGGTCCTTCGGGATCCAGGTCAGTCCCGAACATTGACTGACCAGAGGCCTATAAAATAAACCAGTGTTAACAATAAATCAAGCTGGTGTGGTGTTCTGACAGCTTTCATCTGTGTGGGGAAAACACTCAGGGTGTTAACAGGACTGAAATAATGTACATGAAGACTATAAACAGATGGAGATTTTATTTCCAAAAGGAGCACAATGCTTTATGTATTCGAAAGCAGCATTTAGATGAGAGGTATCTAGATACATTATTGCAGGGAAATTAGGTAGGTTACAATTTTCTTTTGAATACAGTACTCGCAATGATTTTATGAACAACATATCGATTTAAAAGTATATTATAGACTTGTAAGAGATTATTTCCTCATAAAATACATTATTTGTTGCACTAACATCATACAACAGACTATATTGAATACTTAATATGTAGTTTTATCCTTCAGTCAGGTCCATTGATATTGAGTGACAAACGACAGATGTTCTAAAAGCTCCTAAAATCTAGGATGACTAGTAGATCTGTTCTTTACTGCTGTTTCATACTTTTAAGTTTATCACAACAGTAGTGTATATTAAGCACATGCCTAAGATGGACCTCAGTCTTGCATATATCCAAGTCAAGAATACAAAGATGGTGCTATGCTGAGCATTTAAGGCAAACACAGGTAGCTCTACACAGTGGAGATACCAGAAGTGAGCTGAGATTTCCCTGAGACCTAAATACTCACTTGCAAAGACTGCAGAGAAAAGACATCAGTTATAGACAGTTTAGAGTTTGAGCAAGTGTGAAACATTAAGAGAAAAAAACCCTGTACATTCTTAGGCTGGCGTATGCAGTAAATAAGAAACGCCTTTTGGAGATTGCAAATTAAAACAAAAGCCGCTAATAACAATCACACAGCAGAGTATTTCAAGAAGACAGTATTGACATAGTTTGTAAAGCCGTTTTCAGACAGGAACTCCACATAACACCACATTTGTCCGGACTCTCTCAAGAGTTTGTATTTCACACATTAAAAACGCAGCAGGGGATTCTCTGTGAGATGCGTTAAAAACAACACAGACATCTCTGGAGCGTTCAGGTGAGGAGCAGGATTTAACATATTAATTCATTTACACCAGCGTTGGCTCTTATCACCAAAACTCTCTAGACATCTACATCCTCTGTGTGCATGTGACCTATTTTTTTCCATTTGTCTGTGTTGCATGTTAGAAACATCAACAACACACCCGCTCCTGCTTTGTTCTCACATCAGCTTATATAGAGTCTTTATTAGGGACTGGCAGGAAAAACTCTGGAGAAAGTCTTGTCCCTCTCAAATTTGCATTATCACAAACAACCCCATTCACAAACAACCCCATTCGGAAAATGTCGGAAAATGATTCAGAGTTCAGTGCATGTCTGAAAGCAGCTTAAGCGACAGGTGTAACTATGTCCACAATGAAAACCTATGAAGCTTCCCACTCAAAACAAGGCAACATATAGTAAAAAGGTTACATTCAGAAGTGGACGGTAGCTCCATGTTTCTTGACTGTGAACAAACTGCATCATCATGTTAACCATTCATCACGAGAACTTTAAAATCCCCCTCACCAGTCTATTGCTTGAAATATCTCAATAAAAGCAACTAAGAACAGATCGGAACAAAATTTTCAATAAAAACCAAAAAAACACAGTTTGGAACAGGTTATCAATAACATGATGTCTGGACATTAAGAAAACATTTTAGGCTGAAACTTAAACGTGTGTTAAATGTAGGAAAAATTGTGACAGCATTTTGTCACACAAATAAATTGATACAGCATATTTAAAAAGACAGAAGTTCTGACATAATCCATTTGTCTGTCTCACAATCATCCACAATCCTCTGCAGTGTTGTGCAATGAAAACTAAAGGCCTTTAATTATGGCTTTGTGTGTCGCTTTCAAGAGTAACTTTACTATTGCACAGGAAATATATGTGATTACATTTAGCTAATATGTATTTCACACATAAATATACAACTACACAGCTTTTCTAAAGAAAAATAGGAAGAATTGAAACTTAAATACCTACTTACTAACATTTTCCTGAGTTTTCAACCGCATCTTATTCAGTTTTTTCTGTCTCTTCACTGAAGATTTTGTCAAACTATTTTTTCAAAGTTAATTAAGAACAGATTCACAATAAAGTTAATTTATAAAGGTTGTAGATGAGCTGATTGTCAACTGACAATTAACTACTGTTAAAAATTTGATTCTGAAACTAAAAAACACTTTGCACATCCATTTTGCGGGCAGGGTGCGAGTAAGTCTAAACTTGTGATAGAGCTCCCACACACATTGTCTAACTTGCAATACTAGACCTTCAGAAATGTTCTAGTAACAGAACCTTGCATTATACATTTCTGATTGCAAGTTAGACAGTGAACGGGAGCTCTTTCACAAAAAATATGGTTCTTAAAATTACAGGCTTGTTGGAAAGTACATGTTCGCTGGATGCAAGAGTCAAAACAACGCACCGAGTCACAGTAGTTTACTATCAATGCACCAGTACTGTGCTGATAGAATAACACTACTGCAGCTTTGACTACGGGAGTTTCTTCAGACAACACTCTACTGTGTGAAGTAGCTGCAAAAAGTATTTTAAAGGGTTGAGTTAGAGTATTGGATAAAATGAAGAACCACTTTACTTCCTGTTGGCTTTAACTTCCTCCTCATCAGTTTATATCTAACCTCACATTCATAACTGGGACCACCGTGGCCACAGCTCAGGATCAATTGGCTTTGTAAAGAAGAGGGTAGACCAGATTGACTAACAGAGCCAGGACTGCGGTCAGCGTGCCCAGAACAAAGTATCGCACACAGTCATCGTCGGGATACTCCGACATCCTCTGCCTGCGGTGCCGTCGCACCGGCTCATCTGTTCTATCTTTGTCTTCCTCCTCACTGTTCCTCTGAGTTTTCTGCCTCCAGAGCGCAGAGCGGAACAGTCTGCGTGGGCCTTCGTCAAGCCCCTCCTCTTCCTGCTCCAGTTCCCGCCATATCAGAGAGGCCTGCGATTGGCGGAAACCGGTGTCAGCTTCTGGGAAAAGGTGCGGTCTAACACATTGTACGATTATAATAAGAAACGATCAGCTGATCTATCAGATTCCAATCAAATGTGTCGATTACAGGAATCTGACATCTGAGTTGATAGATTAAGGACATGAGGCTGTCTGAGAGGCTCATCTTCCAGAAATCAGGTGGAGGAAAGTCACACGATTTTAAGAGAAACCCATTTGAGTAAACGAAAGTACCATAAAATCTCAACTGTGCTCTTGTACAGAAAGCAACATGGTGTGTGAGAAAAACGTGAGGGTGTATGGTTCAGTGTTGACTGTTGACACAATCACTATGACCTGGACATACAAAATAAAAAAAAACCTTTGTATTATTAATAGCTTAGCTGTATGAGGAACTTAGTTTTTCAACAACCACTCTTCTCTTTTATCCCACAGGATCACAAGGTTGAACCAAACAACCTATGCCATAAAAACTAATGCAACATTTCTTCCATTTGTGTGGAGAGAAGATAGTGTGGACAATAAAAGCAGTTTCATCAGTACACGCCACTGAAAAACTACATGTCACATGATGCTAATGCTGCCTGACAACTGAGCTCTATTGAGCTGAGATTAACAGACAATCTGAGTGATGGATCTCTTCATTATGAACCCACTGGGCTGGAGTGGGAGCTCTTGTCAAGACCAATTAAAAAGAGCCATTGGTTCACAACTCACTGGCTTCTCTGTTACAACCTGCCAAATACTGTTAATTCTTAACCAGCAGGAGACACACACATTTGCAGTAGATCCATTAAACGTGGATTTGAACACGCTTCTGTTGTATTCAAATATATTTTTCATCATGTTGTAACCCTATCCTGGTGAACTCACTGCATTGACCGTGATGCAGTAAGGATATTTTCAAAAACACTTCAGCCCTTTTATAAACACCTTTTATTCAACCCTACACTAATCCACATCACACAACAGTCTTAAAGAGATAGTGTTGCTTTTATCATTCTGTTATATTGTGTTTTGATCAGTAGAAATGTGAGAAATACAAGATGTATAATAGGGTGTTTAAGTCTTTTGAACATCATTGTGTGTGTGAAATAAAAGTAAACCAGAATCCACACATTTCTTTAAGGTTAATAAAGGAAAATACACATTTGAAGAGGATCCAAATCTTTGCTGCAGCATTTAATCTGTACACCCCTTTGACAGACACAGGCCCTCAGTCTCTTGCCAATGTGGCTCCCTCACCTGGCTGGCAGTAGCTCCTGCAGCGGTGGGCGACTCTGCTCCAACGGGCCGAAGGAAGCGTGGTGGCCTCTCCACAGGGGAGTTGCGTCGCCGGTAGAACAAGACGTAGGCGTAGCGCGTCACCACCTGACTCTCCTCCACCATTGTCACAGTGCTGTCATCGAACAGACGCCAGCCTTTGGGAAACGATGTGTAGAAAAGAATAAGTGAAAAAAGGAATGATGATGAAACAATTGCATCAGATGAATAAATAAGGGGTTAAACTTAATTGACTGCACACTCACCAACATCACTGCGCTGGCTGTTCTTGTCACTTGGCAGGCGAGCGTAGGCCGTGTAGTGGCCACCTATCATTCCACCGTAGTGGTTGATGACTGCATATAAGTCATAGATAGGAGGTTGTTGCATCTCATCCTTCTGGCCTATACAGAACTTACTCAGATCCAGATTCCTACAGGACAAGAACAACATGTGAACGCAATGATCAAAGTACTGCATCACAAACACATTTTTACATTAAAATAAACAAAATTGACATGGTTTAGAAAAATGTGAATGAGTAAATAGTTGATGTGTCCGGTAAACTTTTTGATGTGTGTTTACCTGACGGGGAAGTCCACCATGTCATTGATCTTATCCCTCCAGATGAAGCTCCTGAAGGAGAAGCGCTTGAGCTGGATGATCAGAACGTTTGGCAGACGCCACAGCAGGAGCTGTTTGGAGGCCTCACGGTGCTGCTGGCATTTTGGGCAGTACCTTAAAAACGTTAAAGTTTTTAAGACTTTAAATAGGCAACTACAACAATGTTACCTTAGACAGTAAGAAACAAGACAGATAACAGACGGACAGAGACAGACACATTTTATTTTTGTTTATTATCTTAAAACGAGATAAATAAGACCCCTACCATGCCTCCTCTGGTGCCAGCACCTCAGGCTTGGTGAAGAGGTTGAGGCACTGCTCCAGGGTGAAGTGACCAGCCCTGGCTGTCTCACTCAGAGAGCCAGGGTCCTCCTCGTAGTCCAGCTCCTTGGAGCTCACCAGCACATACTCCTTCAGGCGTTCGTTGTTTTTCCATACCAGCTCCAAGGTCACGTCTTCAGGGAGGTCAGCGAGCAAGTCCTCTGCAGAGGGGGGGGTGGAGAAGGAGGAAAATAATGCTGGTATGTTGAACTTTAGTTCTAGGAGTAGGAGTCGACGCAGCAAAAACAGCTTATATCCCACGCAGAGATGGGTATATGAAAAACTCACTGCCCCATCTTGAGCATCACTAAAGTAAATCAACACCTCTCTGACTGTCTCAACATGAGACGTGAGCATTACAATTCAACATTTTGGAAAATGTACATATATAGAAATTACAGAAGAGACTGGTGGTCCTACCTTTCTCATCCAGCCTCTGTTCCTTGTTGTTAGAGTCCAGCAGAGAGATGTAAAACTGACTGGCATGACCTGATGCTGTCTCACTTGGGTGCTGGTACCCTGTTACTGCAGCTGCAAAAAGTGAGAAGAATGAGAAATAAGTTGATGCAAGAGAATGAAAAAACACAAAAAGAAAAACAGTGGTGGATCTGTATGTTATATTATCACCTTCTGGCCGCACTGCCTTCTCACACGACGTCTCTTTTTCAGCATGAGGGTCCAGAGAGCAGCAGGAAGTTGTAGTGACTGGCTCAGAGAATCCTGAATCTGAGGTTCTTGTAGTGGAGAGAGAGGTCTGGGAGGACGAGAGGGCTTCTACAGAGGGGGGGGCTGAGGCCTGGCCGTACTCTGCCTGGGATTCAGGCAGCAGAGACGGGCTCTCCAACTCCACGTCCCCTGCTACTGTAGTACTGCTCCCACCCATGGCTTCATCACCAGATCCAACACCATCAGATGAGCCTGCAGGCATTGGGGGGAGGTCTGCTCTGCACTGGGATGTCTCAGGGGATGTCCTGCCTGACTGGAAAGGAGGCTGAAACACGTTGACGGAAAATCTGCCCAGAGAGAAACACCCCCACAACACGGTAATGCACATTATTTACTTACATCCATTCAGCAGGGACTTGCACATTCTGTATGTGTGAATGTTTGTAGCGTGCAGGTCTGATTACAAGGTTTATTTCTGTACATCTTTTGAAGGGAAAATTTGATTTACTTAATAATATGACAAAAGATAAAAGTAGTCACAAAGTGGAACTGGCAGATGTTTACGTGTTTGTTCGACTCATTTTTATTTATCTTGTAACTGAGTGACAGTTTAGCAAACTGTAATTTAGACCATGTACCTGGAGTAACCCTCTAGAAGCTGAGTGAGGCGGGCATAGGAGAGTCGAGACTCTGGCACGCTGGCCAGGAAGGGCAGGCCCACATGCTCCGTGTTAGGTCGACAGAGACCCTTGTGATTGGGCCAGTGGGTCCTCTGACATACCCTGAGAGGACGAGAACATGGGAATTATAATGGATTTATTTAAAACAAAGTGATATATTCCTTGTGGTGTCCATGTTGAGCGAGCCGGAGGCTACATTTTGGAGGAGGACTCACTGATTGCAGTAGCCCACACGATAGCAGCGAGTGCACCGCTTCAGCTTGTCCTCCTCAGAAACTGGAGGCTTCAGGCAGGCAGCGCACTTTGAGATGGGGATATTAGGGACCTGGAGTTTCTGGAGGGCAAACAGAGGGAAATGAAAGCCCTTTCAATATCTGCAAGCTCAGATTTATTTGAATGTGCTGTAGAAGGTACAGTGACAATTCGTTTTTTTGTTACCTGTTGTACTCGGAGCAAAACCACTCTCTCTTTGGCCAGGTCTTTGGAGAGCACCTCAAAGCAGAACAGCATGTCAGAGGAGGACACCGTGTCCAGGGAATGGGACGGCAGGAACATGCGCTGGAAGCGGTTCTTCCCAACCTGAGAGGAGTGGAGTCCAATTTTCAGTCCAATCATGGACATTTCTGTCGGCGAGGTTGAGCCTCTAAAATGAATATTGTAAATATCTCACCTCTGCCAGTCTCAAGTTCTCTGGTTTTACCCTCATGCTCCTGGAAATGGATTCCAGGACTTCAGCAGTGCTGGAGTTCTCCTTGCTTACACTAACCAAAAACTACACACATATACACAAAAGTTCATTAAAAACCTGCTTCACATGTAAGATTTGTTGATGTTTTCCTTTTTTAATTAAATTCTTAAGCAAAGACTTGAAATCAGTTATTTTATCTTACCTTGATAGGTTTTTTATGTGGTTCCTTAGCAAAGTAGAAAACTGACAGCACCTTTTGTTTCTGAGGCAATGGGACTGGCAGGTAGAGGAAGGGGTCAAAGGTGATTGACACCTAAACAAAAGGAATGTAAAGGGCAGTTAGTCGGGTTAGACATCATTGTAACAAGACAAAAACTAAATCAAGAGCATTTTGTGGCAATGTTTTACCTTGGAGCATGTGGGGCAAACCAGCTTGGATTTGAACTGGCCTTGGAAAAGATCAACTATAAAGGAGTCGTTCCTCATCTTATGCCTCTGCCATGCCTCCTCTGCCACCACCTGCACCAATACACAAAACACACAACCAAGCATTGATGAGAATGTAGGGTGCTCAATAAATATTTCCCCAAAACATGTTTCTCTCACTTTGCTACCTCGAGTGAATGATTGTGTAAAATATAACTGACATGAACACATCACTAATCAACAACTGTTGATATCCCTGACATTTGTGTCAGATGAGAACCTACACATACCTCATCCAGACGTCCGTCAGAGTCAACTGTCTCTGTATATGGTTTATTCTGGATGCGGTTCAAGTCCTCATGGAGCCCGTCCAGCAAAAAAGCCATGAACTCCTGAGCATCGTGCTGGGCGTAACCTGTAAACTGACTGGCTTTGCTGGCCACAATCGCCTGCAAACAACACAGAAGAATGAAACAGGAAATGAAAACACGATCAATCTGGCTTGCTATGTTTCGGGATGTTGAAAATATGATGCATGGAGTCAAAATCAGATGTGTTGCAACTTTCAAAGTTCATCAGTTCTTAGTCGCTTAAGATACGGGGATGAATTTTGAATGTATTTCATATACACTAAATCTTGTGTACCTTGAGCTTTGAGGGTTGGAAGGCATGGTGTGTTCCTTTCCAAAGGGCCCTGAGCAGCACTGCAAAGCCAATGGCTAGTCTGCCTCCTGTTCCCAGCGGATTACTGCAGTTGATTTCTGCCTCAAATGCTCGATCTGCAGGGGCACAGAAAACACAGGCATAACATAACACAACCAGACAGCAACCCAAGGCACATAGACATTGATGATTTTTCATGCGTCACTGTTTGTCCATCATAGTAAAACTTCAAATGACTTGATGTGGATATATATTTAGATTTTTAAGCAATGATCTCAATGCTTTAAATGCTTAAATTGCAGAAACTGTAGCTGTTAATATAAGTTACTAACCCCAGAATCAATGTGGCACAACACTATTAATCTATCTGTGCACAAAAACATTAATAACACATGTTTAACTTCCTTATAAAATAAAAGGGTTTCTTTATGGCATAAGTATAACAGAATGTTATTTTTGGTCGACAGGAGCTTGACTTTTTCAGAATCGTCAACAAAAACAGCAGTTACCATGGAAGTAATCCCTGAGTTCTCTGGTGTTGGACAGGGATTGGATAACACTGTTCATGAAGCAGGTGTTGCCAAGGTTGACCAGTCCTGTAAAACCAGGCAGGCACACCTTCTTCTCCTCCTCTTCCTCGTGCCGCTCATTGCTAGCAGGAGGTGCATGTGTCATGGGCTGCACCATGCAGGTAGGCTTAGGCTGAGACAGGAAATATAAACACACACCCATTCTTCTAATTAGATAATGATAACAAGTTACCAAACTAACAAGACCAAGTACACTGGAAAAATCTGTAGTGTTTTCCTTTCATCATCCAAATGACACGTTTGGTTGAATATTTATTTTGTGACTCACCGTAGTAACCGTTGGCTCTGGCTTGGTAATAGCAACATGCTCAGAGACTGTGCGAGAAGCCACGTTATCCAAACCACCATCCTCCACTCTGGACGAGGCCTTGGGTTTCTCCTCCCCAACCCTTGGAGGCTCCTCCTTGGCTGGGAGGTTGTGCTGGCTGCTGCCTGGTTGGCTCTTCTCAATGCAGGCAGGACTTGAGGGCACAGCAACTTTGGCGCCACCCACTGCACCTTCAACAAAGGAGAATGGAGTTCTGGTTAGAAGAAATGCCAAAAAGGAAGTCTTTACCAATCTACGGTCATAGTGCAAGTGCATTAAGGCTGTTTCCTTGTCCCTGTCCACTCTGTTAGGTTAACAACATACAAAATGTTTGATAAGCAATAAACCAATCAGTGTGCCTTCACCTGTTCACTTTAACAGCCAGGTTACGCTTCCAACTTGGCTTATTAATATTAGAGAGGCTGAGTTTACAGGACATAAAAGAATTCTTCTCTGAAGAGGAAACAGTATCACTTTGTGCCCAAGCAGGAACTTGTGTGTATTTGTGCATCACTTTCTTGACAATGTACCTTAAAACAAGAGTGAAATACTATGCCACTGACTTCAGAACAGGTTTGTGTTGGAGGAAGGAAGGAAGCACAATCCCTTTTATCTGTCTCAAGATTACAGTGTGCCAACAATGTACGTGAACACACTTCATTTTTTATCACTGGAAACTTTTTTCTTTGAGTATATTGAATTATACGTTTTTCTATTTTGTATGTCTTTGAATGTTTAGCTCACCTGAATAAGTGTTAAAAGAAAAGAAATCCTCATCCAATTGCATTTCGAACCACGCCTAAGCTCTCAAGTAATCTTGGGGTCACACAGCCTGCAACAAACGTAAGTCTAACAGACGAGACTGGCACCCATATCTACTTACTGGCTAAGTGACAGAGTTCAAATTCTTGTCACTGATAGCCACTGAAACGCATGCACACAAAGAAAACATACCATGGCACCACACCAACTTCTCATTCAAACATTCAGACATACAGGTCACCTGTCTGTGTGAGGAAAACTAGTCCACAGTGACTCTTTGACGTTGACATACTGACTGAAGTTTAAAAAAATACAGTTTACAAGTTATTAAGGTCTATGTAGTGTACATTGCTTTTCATATTTCATTTTCATGTTTGGGATTGTTCAAAGCCTTTTTCAGGCATGACCTGCGAGTAAAGTCCGGAGAATTTTGTTTACCTATAGTTTGCCTTTCACACATGCACACCGCAGTCGGAGGTTCTGTGCACACATGTGCTCAAAAAAGTAACAAATCTCAGCGAGAGATGGAGCAGCCACGTGAAGCCGGCATAGGCAGGGAGTGATCGACTCCGATTTTCTTCACAACGCAGTCACTGGCCTCAGCTCTTATCACCACAAACTCTTCATATCTTCATCTTCTACCCGTATGACACTGCTTTTTCATCGCAAGACCTTTTCTTTTTGTGATTTCATTTTTAAGTCTGTAGCATTTTAAAAGCGTCATCAACCCCCCTACTTGCTCACAATGATTCCAGCCGGGGGTCCACGGCAATGTGATCAAATCGAATTCTCTTGAATTTGTATGGACTTTATGCTAGGAGGCCAGGCAGAGAAAGTCTGCAGATAATCTGGAGCCTATTACTTGGACATTTGCATTCAAACCTCTGGAGAAAATATGGAGGATCTGCAGAGTTCAGTGCGTGTGTGAAAAGCCACTCAAGAATGTTATTGCAATAGTGTATTATTTCACCACTCATGAAAAACGAAAAACTTTACAGTGTTGACAAATAGAAGCCTGGCAGCAGACCTTGTGTGGCAGGGGCCTCCAGACCCCCCCAGCGCTGGCTGTGTCTCTTCTTCAGGGTGATGTCCAGCCGGGACGGGGTGAACGAGTAGCTGCACTGCTCAGGCTGGATTAGGTTCCTGAAGCACGTGGATGAAGAAAAATACACAGGTCAGATAAAAAGACAAAGGGCAGTGAGGTAAAACTAACTAAGGTTTGATATTTATTCTTTTGACACAGTTCATTTTAAAAACACAAAAGTCTAACTTGATAAACTAATATGTAGATGAATAGAATTATGACACATCTCGTTTTTGTAATAACTGGAATTTGAAAAGCCAGGTGTGTAAAATAAAGTGGTATCCGATGCCCCTTTTCCACTGGTCAAAAAACTTAAAACCCAACGACATCTGACTTTTGTCTGCAATGGGAATGGAAACTATCTGCATTCACTCCTGGGTCAAATGACTCTGCAGTTGACACATTTTTTAATTGGCTGAGATTGACCAATGGACACGTGACACCCAGGTTAACACACTGATTTGGCCAAGCAATGAGAGCTTCTCAGTTTGCAATGCATTTGGACAACAAACGTGATACATTGGGGGAAAAAAAGAAAGGCAAACTCCTCTACTGGAAATTAGTCAATTGCATTTATCCACAAATTTTGGTGTAAAAGAGTTTTTACAGCAAGGTTTCATATCGCAATCCTCTGTAAAAATCCTATTGAGTATCCTAGTTGAAAGGTCCTCTATAGAACCAGTGATGGGTGTGTCTCTTCTGGGCTACTGTAGAAACATGGTGCTTCAACATGGTGGAAGGGGAACCACTGTCTATGTTGATAAAAGCTAATTCTAATAGAGGTGTGTGTTTTCACTAGCCTCACGATTTTAATACGATTCAGAAGTCAACGATTTGAATGCCCAACGATGCATCTCAATGCATTTCAATGCATCACATCCACAATTTTCTATATTACTGCACATGGCTGCTTTTTCACATTTCAATAAAATCCTTCATACAAACATGAACTCCCTTCTTATTCAGAAAGTGCTTTAAAATGTTACAGACTGTTATTACAAGTGTGCTGTAATCTACAAAATTAGGTTTTCAATTGATAAAGGTAAGTCTATGACAGTGGTCAGTGCTCTCAACACTGATTTGAATTTCATTCAGTTTAAACTTGTGTGCTGCACCTAAGGCTTAAAAGGACAAACTGATCGACTGGATCAAGTTCCTGATCACAAGTTTCCAAATGCAAGACTAATGTCTCGGTCAACTCACATGAGTCAAGTTAGCAATAAAAATAAGCAATAACAGTATGCAATAAAAGGAACAGCTTGGTACTTAGTTAACTGTGATACCAGGTCAAATCAGTCAATCAACAATCTATTTTAAATGCAGCAGTAGAGTTCTGGCACAACACTTTTTTCGATCTACGGTTCACACAACTAAACTGAAAACACCTCTCCTCTCTCCAACTGCACAACCAGATGTCAACTACAGACACTGCAGCTCTTACCTGAGTTTGACTTGCCACTTAAAAACTGTGTTGGGCCCACAGTCTGAATGAAGCCGCAGGAAATTGGCATCACTGAAAGAGGACGATACAGGAGAACATATGTTCAGTGGTTGTTTTATGACATGAAAACATGCAAAAAAAAAAAGGGACAATAATTGGATAACCAGTTTCAATTTAATGTGTAAACGCATTTACTACCATGTCTGAAAGATGAGGGTGAAGTCCTGTTCCCTGAAGATGACCTTGGCTGTTTCCCTGCAGATCCCCTTCATGTAAACATTAACCACCATCAGATCGGTGCCCTTCTCATACGAATCACTCTTCACAAATTGTAGGTTAACCATTGGCTCTGGGGCTGTAGAAAGTAATTGTAAATATCAGCAAACTCCTGTCATAATGATGAATAAAGTCCGTACCGACAATGTATTTTATGATGATCATTTTTAAAGCTTCATCTACACTGTTAATCTGTCAGTGCAATATTTAAAAAAATAATAATGTTAATAGAAAAAGGGAAAACAAAAACAGAAAATGTGTCTGGATTATAATTTTCGGTAAAGATAGTCATCTTGGATTAAAATTAGGGTCAAAGGTATTTGCTATTTGAAGGTTGTTACACACATGCACGCACAACTTCAACACAAAAACTTACAATCCAACCCCAAGGCTTTCTACATCACAACCTTCTCAACACACCTTCCTGTTGCTTAATTTCCAGAGAGGGCTCCTCCTTTGGTTGGTCCCTCTTCTCCTCTCCGTCACAGCTGCTCTGCCTCTGGGCAGCACTAGGTGACAGGCCTGGCTTGGCAGCCATGCCAACAGTTGATACGGTTTCCGTCTCTCTTGATCTGAGCTGCTGGCGGATCGGAGTTTCTTGCTCAGCTTCCTGCTGAACAGGACTTTTCTCTGGTTCCACTTCATTGTTGAAGCAGACAGGTTTTAGACAGTCACTGGTGCTAATGGGAGCTGCTGGTTGGTTTTCATGGCCATGTGCTGTTGCTGCAGACCTGTCTGGCGACTGGTTTTGTTTCTCCTCCACCTGAACAAAAAACAAACAAATTTTGTTTGAATCCTCCAGAGAGGAATTTTCCCTCTCTCAGGTCTTAGAGGTTGTGGAGATGAGTTGGATATCCGAGAGCAGTGGATTCAAAGGCGAACTCCGCAAGGGTTTCCACTTGATTTTAGCTCCCCCAAAAAATGACAATTCACTCATTATCTACTCAGCACTATGCCGACGGAGGGGTGGGTGTTTGAGTCCACAAAACACTTCTGAAGTCTCAGAGGTAAACAGTGTTGCAACCAAAAACATGAAATGCCTCCATTCTCCTCATGCGATGTCATGCAAGTGTCAGCAAGCCCCAACATTTATATTCGAGTTGAAACAGTGTTTTAAGCCTAAATGTCCTCTGATATCCTCCTCAGAGGCGCGTTTACATTCTCATGGACACACCAGAAAAATCACCGGCCTATCAGATGGAGCCCTGCTGCCCTAGATAATAAATTAAACATATTCATATCATTGACGGGTTTTTGAAATCAATTAATCATTGTTGGAAGAAGAGAATAAGAAGAGAATAGAGAGACAACCTAGAATTTGAAAAATAATTGAAGAAAGAAATTTGACGGAGCGAGGCAAGTCTCCCCCCCGACTAAATTCTTTCCTCACATCAGGATGTACCCTAGTATAAAAGGATGATGTTGGATATGAAAGTCGGGGGCTTGGATGACACCACATGAGCAGTATGGAAGCATGTTTTTTCTGTTGTTTTATAACATTGGAAGAAGGGGTCACTTTGGCTGGAACTCAAACACTTCACCCCTACATCAGCATAGTGGTGAGTTTATTTTTCGGTTAACCATCCCTTTTATCAAATTTTGACAACAAAATTACAAAAATCCATTTTAGCATCTTACACGAATGCAACATAGTTGGAGCTTTCTTACCTGAGTGTTGCTGGTATGGCCAGGAGCAGCGACAGCAGCTCCAGCTTCCTGCTCTTGACCACTGTGGAGTCTCTCTGCTCTGTTATTTACATCCCTGCGTTGTGTCTGTGGGCTCCGACCAGCGGGCAGGTGTGTGTGTGAAGCTTTACCATCAGACCTGACAGATTGTGTGTCCTTGTCAGCAGATGCTGTAGCCTCATTAGTGGTCTTGGGTTGGTGTACGATGGTGCGTTTGGCGCTGGGTTCCTGAGGCTGCTGCTCGGTCACAGGCTTGTTGGTGGTGGCTGAGCCATCTCTGGCTCCACCTTTCACCCCTACAGTGTCCACAGTGTCCTTGTCGCACGCTGGTTTGTTTTTCATACAGCGCTTGACCCCCCGCTCAGCTTTTCCACCACCAAGTCTTGATTCGCTGTGTGCAGGCAAGGAGGGAGGCAAGGGATGAAGTTGTGGCTGCGGGGTGGACAGTTTGGGTGTCTCGGATGACTCCAAGGCGACCGGCTTTATCTCCAGGTCCTTGACATTTTTGGTCTCGGTAGGTGCTGCCTCCTTTTCCTTCTCCTTCTTGTTTGACTGAAGCAGAAAGAAGCAAAACCATTTTCTCATTTACCCAAAAGCACATTGAGCTGAAGATCCTGTACAGTGTGAATGCCACCTTTAGTTGTGGATATTAATGTGTCAATACTAAAATGACACATTCAAATGAAATTATAAAATACTATATAGAAAAATAGGACACAAATGAACTCATGTCAGGACAAACTACATAAAAGAAATCCTCTAATCATATGGGAGTCACCTTAAGCGATGGCCAGATGTGAAAGGGAATCTTCTTGTGCATGATGACATGCAGGAAACCTCCCTTCTCCTTGTACTGGACTCTGCTACATGAGGCCTCAATTTCCTCCTGCAACTGGCAGCTCCACTGTCGTCCATCTTGATGACAAAACCATGCATTCAGATGTTATTAGAGCTGGACTGGACCCATAAACTCAATATAAATGATCAAAAAAAGACTACTTATTCATGCCAGACAGATTTGAACACACTTGTTTAAGGCATATGGAGTTAACCCATTTAGAACCGTTCAACACATGCATGTATATACTTTGCAGCATCTGCCCGATTCTCCCTTGAGCGCCAATTGAAATGTTTGCGTCTCATCCACAATTTCATCATATTTGTGCCTGATGAAATATATTGGGATTTGCTGAAATATTCATTAGAATGGCTAAATTTATAAAGGGAAATAGCTGACGATCTGATCTCTCAAATACAGATTCAAATTTCAATAAGGCCTTAACATCAACTGCGCATTCTTGTTTTGTGATTTCATCTGAATATAATTGAACCTACTTCTCTTAATTTGTGCTCCAATGCCGACTGCTGTTTTAGTTACATGCTTTACTATGACTTACCAGGGAAGCGCACGTGGCAGTGTGTATCGGAGAAAGTGGTGTTGATGTCCTCTATCCTCTGCACCCCCTCCCCACAGCGCAGCCTTACTGTTACTTCATTAACATTCTGCTTCCAGTCCACAAACACATCTGAAAAACACAAAGGAGAACACAATCACACCAATGTGAAAGCACAGAACGAATCAGAGATAACAAAATACACCATGTCCATTACAAATATGACACTACAGAAACATTTTGAGGACAGATTTTAATTTTCTAATCTAATTTTCTAAAATTTAGAATAGAAAGATTTAAAATGTGTTTTTGATCAGACTGTGATCTCCAGACGTAGTGAAGTGAAGCATCTTGCCCGCAATTAATACAAGAAATAATGTGATACCAAACCACAAAGAACAATTACAAGAGTGAAAATAATTGAATACTGTTCCAAATCAATGGTGAAACATGTATGAGTCCTTTCCACAATCCTCAGGGTGTTCAAAACACATATGGATGGAGTCTATATTTGTTGTTTTTTCAGCAGGATGACGTACGCTTGACAGAGCAATCAGATAGCTTTGTGATCACAATGAGGACACCGGAAACACAAATTATCATCTGGTGTAAATTTGATCAGGTTAAAATTATATCTAGATAAAATCTGGATAAAAAATCTTTTAATGCCAGAAGCCCAAAGAAAAAAGTACATGAGGCAAAAAACTGCTTTTGAGTAAGGCCAATGGTGAACATCTCTGCTACCCGCAGATATTACAAACACACACTGAAATGCAAACACATTCACAAAGGCCATACCACTGCACTCATAGGCTCAGCGTCAGCCCAGAGCACACAGGGACAGACTGAAGCAGACAGTACAGTGATCTCAGGAATCACAGACCGGACTAAAATTATCCGTGCCTTACAAACTCTGGCATGGAAGCAAATGTTTGGCTTATTTCGAAAAACATGCCACCAAGACATACACAAACTTTAAGGTTCAATCAAAGGCAGAAACTAAGAAAAATTAAAAAGTGAACATACCATTTTTCATTGTGATCTTAAAATCGCTGCAACAACTTAAAATAAAATAAAATCACCAGACAAAAGAAAGTGTGCCAAGAATAGGTGCCCAGCCGGCAAAAATCGTCAGGTATGAATCATGCACACACTCGTGTTTCCATTTGGTCTTAAAGAACAACTAAAGGAGCCTCAACTTTCCCACCCTCACTCCTTCACTCTCTCTCTCGCTGACTTAATAACTTCAGAAAGGTCAAGCAACACCCAATCCCTTCCAGATGGTAACTGTTGGATTCCCAAGGGAGCCACACCACAGTGTACTCTCATGACTTACTACAACAGAGTATGACAAACATTCGTGATGTAAACATTATTAACACAATAAAATACTTTGAGCCCCTTGCGCAGGTTCACATGACAGAAGCTAGAGGGCTCTTAACTGCCACAAGAAAAAATAACACATTCACCAGTTCTATCTGCAACTAAAGTTAAAAAGGTTATCAAACACACTTTATAAAACATAAAAATAGATGACTGAAAGACACACTAAAGACATGAATTACATTTTATTTGTATCGCAAATAAACTTTTCACAGAATTAAGAGAAATGAAAATGAATGACTAAAAGACAATAANTACAATGGCACTCAGTATGGTTAATAGCTCTGCCAAAGCTCAACAGTCTCCTATTGAACCCACATTTAGATTCAATATATCCAGATTCTTTGTTGGACCTTCACCAAATTTCAGTGCCCTAAACATGCCTGATTTTTTTTCCATTAAGATCTATGCATTATTCTCAGAAATCAAGAAAATGTTGACTAATGCTCTATCTCACAATGTTCCTGAACCTGAATCCACCCCCTGATCTAGATCCACACCAAATGTAAGGGGTTGTTCCCTGAGCCATACTGCATCCTTCCACTACATTTTAATGGCAATCTGTGCCGTGGTTAATGGTTTAATCTTGCTTCCAAAAAACAAACTAACCAACCAACAAGGGGTGAAAACATAACATCTTTGGTGGAGGTAATTATTGTTCAAATAACACCAGTCACCAAACATACCTAACGATGTTTAAGTTCAATTAGTAATCTAATCTTTTAAAAAACATTTAACAAATGAAGAGCTCAGCATTTAGAATGTACCCCTTGATTTACTTGAATTCAAAGTTTCATGTTCTGCTTCATACAGTTTTAAATAGATATCTGTTGGAGGAGAAACGTCAATCTGAAACTGTTGTGGCAGGTGCACGTGCATTGTCAAACGTCTGGTAATTCTGCTAAATGAATGTACAACCTCTTAAGAATCAGCTTTTTAACACTATGTAGCCTGCAAAGTGTCTGTCTTTATCCAGCCTCATCAATTACATTTCAAACTCACAGTAAGTGCATATGAATGGTTTTGAGATATTTCAAATCTCAATCAGTATTAAACAGGTAGACTGTACTGACATGTAATCCCCTAAACCTTTCTCATACCTGTAAGAATATCCTACATATAACACTAGATCTGATTTCTGATAGTTAAGTATTGGTTTAAAGGGGGTGTTCTCATGATCATGACAAACACAAGTTTCCCAGATCAGGGGCTGACATTAGATTTATAGCACATCAGCACAAAGCTGAAAACCTGCAACACAAATGCAGCTGCCTCATGGGATACCATACCAACATTAAAACAGAATGTACTTAGATCACAAAGATAGACCACAACACAGTTAAGTGCCAATAAATCAAGGCTTATGTACTAGCGTTACATATTGCAGAATAATCAAAACACGGCCCCGTCTTCTCATGTTTTGGTGTTCACTGCACAAGAAGTCATCTAGTTTATGATGTTGTTCATAAACACCATCTTGTGACATTCAGCAAGAAAAAAGTCAACACACACAAAATCCAGCAGGATGGAGGATCTGCCTGAGAATCTGATGTCAAGTATCCTCACTGGAGCTGCTCCTGGCTAATTATCAAGTGCTGTGTCCGCATTATAGTGTCATCAACATTAAGATCTATTATTAAAGCTGAATTTTTTACCTCTGATCTAAATATGCTGAAAAATACCAGTCAAGAAACAGGTTAGCTTCCATTAAGTCACACAAACACAATATGTGGCAATTTACTCACTTTTCCATACAGAGTGGAGTGTTTAAATCTGCTTTAGACACTTTACAGACACACTGTATTGGCAGGCACTCAATATTTATCAAAGTACTGCTGTGGCAACACACAAATTAAAGTAATCCTGCTTTGCATCGTTAAGTTTCATCATCACTGGATTTAGACTTGTATGAGATGGTGTTGTTAACATACCTCTTTGGTCAAGGACTTATGGGAAATGCGATATGACAAGCATCAGCACTTCTGCCTCCGGGGATGAAGCAGCATGTCAAGAATATCAATAACAAGAAGAACCTCAGTTTTAAGTTTGAGTCCATAATTTATATTTCTATCTCATTACTGTAACGATGTTTGAGCAAGACAAATGAAGGTGAGCTATAAAGGTTGTTTTCCATTTGAAAACCTTCAGGGAAGACAGCATATTCTGCAACTATTGCAAGTGTGAGTGGATCCAAAGATGGACACTGTAATGATTATGCACAACCCTTTACAACTTTAAATACTCTAGAGGACATGTAATATAATTATCATGTCTAGCTTCATCTTTAAGCACAAGAGAGCAGGGTTTACTGAGTTCCACCACTAGAGGTAGATGTTAGACCCAAGAAACACTGATATGTCCTTGATAAGTGCCAGTGTGGGGGTGCTTTCAAACAAGAAAAAAAATGTCCATCAATGTACGAATACTCTCCTCTTCCAACAATAAAGTGCATATTCAGCCACTAGCAATTTAATAGCAGACATAAAACAGTATTAAAGGAACGCTGTCCTCTACACCCACACATAGACAGTTTAAGTCCAAAGAGAAGAAAAACAAATTTGATTGGACAAACACATCCCACAATAACTGAGTAGTACAGTATGTACAAAGTGGTCAACTGTCTTTAATCTGCATTTCGATATGTGGCAGCCATTTCATTCCGGTTCCAGTTTCATTTCAGGGGAAATATCGTCAGTTGTTGAGAAAATGTTCATTTTATTTTGATAGAGACACTGATAATGTTGCAGTGGTCTTTAAATTCTTCCAGAGCTGTATTAAATGTTTTCAAAGCATTATGTAAAACATTTTTAAAGATCAGCATGTATAATTCATATTATAAATATGTGGCAACACAATGACATCAGAATTTTGGTGTGTACTTTGTAGCTATAACACACCCATAACAGCTTTCTCTAGCCAGCTTTTCCTGTTTTTGCAATTATCATATTCAGAGTAGTTGAAAACTTCAATTTATATTCAGTGTATCTCACCAAAACACATTGGATGTATTCTTGAGGTCAAGCAAACATATTGTTACCATTTATTTTCCTCTTAAACATTTTTGTAAACTTTTTTACAAAAATAATGTAATGTTGTTTTTTTTTAAACACTGCATGTTTACATCCACGTTTTCTTTTTCAATCAGCATCCCTCTTGCAATGTCAACACAACACTAGCAACTGGATGTAAATCTCCTCCCCTGCATGTTTGTGTGTTCCCAGCAAAAGAGGGACACGCTCATAAAAACACAATGTGGGGATTTTCACCATGCATGCATGCAAGAAAACATGGGCAATGCAATACACTTTCCTGCTGTCACAATCTGCTGAAGACAATTCATAGCATTACTGTAGAAAGATGCAGAATAATGCACCAACAGAGGGCAGAAAGATGAACGAGCCTGCAAACTAGTATGTATGGATGTAAACAATGCACGATATTAAATATTCAAAAATCAGCTTATTATGCAGAAGGTATTCCTTTCAATGAATTTGTGGAACCTCAATGACACGCACAATACGTTGTAGTGAGAGACAGTGAATGTAAGCATAATTTTGACAAACTTCCCAGGACACCTGTGATATAATAAAATATTTATTTGGCTGTTGTGGGGGTTAGTGCATGTACACAAGTATAGCTAATGCACGCAACAGCTTGTGAGTGATAGGTACAAGGACTGAAGAGTGAAAAACAACTTCTCACATGAGAGAGAGAGCTGTATTGGATGCCACTTGTGCGCATCCACACAACAGAAGTGGAAACTATGAGGTTTGACTGTCTGTGTGGACTGTAAGAATTTTAAAAGTGCTGCACAGAGCTATTCAATGCAGAAACGGAGCATAACAGTTAGAGATTAAGGCTGCACAATATTAGAAAAACATGTGATATGCGATAACGTTGTTTAATATCGTTATGACAATATGACTAGCAATAAATAAACATTAACAGTCCCTGGCTACGGACGCAGGGACCAAGGACAGCTCCACAGCCAGGAGAAGGCGCCAAATCTGGGGCAGAAACCAGAGAGCCATGCACAGCTCCACTAAGTCCAACTATAGTGTTAATGTGGGGTCTTTCATACATAGCTTGACTGTGAAAGGTTTTTTTTGACAGTTTTTAGTGGTTCTGCCAGTGATATACTGCTCCTCTCTGACTTTATCATTCATGCTTGTTACTGCGCCAACTGCGACAAACCAAACCGAGGGCTCCGCAATCTCCTCTAGCTCCACATACATTTACTAAGTTGCCAGAGAGAGAAAAAGAGCAAGCGGGATGGCTGCTCTGAAGAAAGAGTCAACTCATAAAGAAAATTATCGATAGTTATGTGATGATCAGTTAAGATATTGTGGTGTCATTTCAAACAAATCAACATTTAAACTGTCAGCTGAGAGAGAATGAGAGTGAGACACAAAATCGCACAGAGAGAGCAGCGGAGTCTGTGCAGTCTTTTGCGATACATATATCTTGCACGTCTTGTATGTTATGAGAAGTGTGAAAACACTTTTTGGTTCATTATGAAACTGTGGTGAGACAAATTTGAATGGCAGGCGCCACAGTCTTGATAATTAATAGGTAACACTGCTCTGCTTCTCAGATACATGTGTGTTACAATTGTCAAATGCAGTGTAATTTATGGCAAGTGGAAACAACTGAGCTGAACTATCAGGAAGGTTCAATCAATTTATTTTATTACATACTAAAACATTTCTACTGCAGTGTAGTTAGAATGCATTATTCCACCTCTTTATGAATATATTTGAACAACAAAATAAAGGGAATGTTGACCTGACAAATAATCTGGAAATGTATCAAGAACAAATATTTGTCAGTGCACAATATGTGTAGATCTACCTACCTTTCTTGACTTCAGCGATAACCCCATCTACTGCTGCAGCGGCTGCAGCTGCCCTCTTGGCCTCTCTGCTCTCCTGGTTGGCTCTGTCCTTCTGCTTTTTCTTACTGGTACTGGAGGACAGGTCCGAGCAGCCGTCCCTGCCGCCGCCGCCGCCTCCTCTCTGCTGAGCCCCACCGCGACGGCCCGCTGTCTCGGTACCAGTCATGCCGGTCCCACCGCTGCTGGCCATCTTCAGGCACTTGGCACTAACAGGCCGCCCGTCGCCGGAATCACTATCGCTGCTGGGGTCTGGATCTGAGGTGTGCCTCTTCCTGCCTGGCCCAGCTATCTTGGCGATGATACTTGTCTGAACTCTCCCAGAACAGAATCAGGAAGGCTACCGGGGGTAGGGGGCCTAAGGCAGTTTAGACAGAGAGACAATCATGAGGACAAACTGCTGGTGATCATTGTTTGTAATGTGAAACAACCCAGGTGATCATAGCAACCTGCCTTTGCTACGTTTGTTGCATGTAAACACGGGTACGCACGCATGGCCACAGCTGGAAGGAGGGCGACTCACTGCTCAAAGCTAACCACAATCAAAACCATAATAGTAAACGAGGCGTTAGCATAAAGTTGCGCATAATATTAGCCGAACTAGACCGAGGCTAAGCCTTGCCTCGTTTCCTTAGCATAGCAACTACGAGTTGCTAGCTTGACAAATGACAAACAAAGGACAACAGACAAATCAGCCATTTTATTGGCATTCAGCGCAGGATAGAGACTTAATCACGAACAGTGTTTATTGAAATAGCTATTACACGCGTAACAATGCAGCGTCCCGTCCCTGGAGACGTTAGCTTGGTAGCGGGTAAGTTAGCCAGCCGACGGCAGAGGTTCGTTTATTTCAGGACACGCGTGTCGGCGGCTTACATGTGTCTGTTCACATGGACTGTATATTTGCTTGTCTATAGAGCAAATAAAAGATGTGGTGATTGGCTCATTAATCGGTTTTCAACCCGTTTACTGGAATCAGCAAATCCTCATTTAATGTGCCTGTTCTACAGCGGGAAGTGAGGGACAGTGCGGTTGGTGGGAGACACATTAGAGTTTAATTTAAATAATACACTGGGTTTAATCTAGCGGTGTTGTCGTTGCTGCCTGGAAATAACCAGCCACGTTATGACGTTATTCTGCCTTTAGTCTGACTTCAGTTAATCATTTCGACCACTACATTCATCTGTGCTCCAGCAGAGCGCCGGACGGGTCTTAAAATCAAACGCTCCCCCAGTCTTCGAAGCACCTAATGTCATTAGCCACATCCATGCTAACGCTAGCTGAGTTCATGTGTCCGTCTACTCTACACAAACACCCCCGCAACATGTCGTGACACCTGACACACGTCTGAGCTTCACAGGCCAAATTCATCACAGCATCGGAACGGGAGACTTACGGGGCTTCCGCGCGGTGAGAAATCCGTTGCTGACACACAATGGCCGGCGACTCCTTCTGCTACTACCGGCTGCTAAGCTCCTTCACGGCCGCGGGCCGCTGCGCTGCTTCGGTGCCCTCGAAACCCCGCAGTCCACGGCGTTTCTGGAATGTTCTTCCTTTATCCAGGACCCATCTCTGGAAACTTTAAACTACTTCCATCCCAAAATTCAAACGAATGACAACAAACAGAAAACCGTTCAGTCTGCCGCTGTCATGGAGTCTGAGAGGGAGAGACCTACTTCCAACGAAAACACCGTCCGGCCAAACCTGGACTGAGTGCGCGCATAGACCACTTCCTGGCTGGCGCGTTCACGTGGTACGTAGCTCTTCCTTCAACCCGCCTCACCTCTCTCTCTCTCTCTCTCTCTCTC